AATGTGGCATCATAAATCTCCATAAAAAACCAGCTGTCAATTTACTAATTTAAAACGTTGAACTCCAACCTTGAGAGCTCTTACTACTCCGTCCCTGAAGCATCGTGAGAGAGATAAATCGCGGGATGTACCCCAGTAGGCCAGGGAACAAGAGCTTGCCCATACACTGGTGTTCACAAAGAGTCAAATTCCATATCTCAGGAAGCGAACCCTCGCACTGTAGTTGCTAGCAAGGCTGAGACTACCTTACTCCCGTCCTTTGCACCACTGGAATATGTCCCGGGGGCATCTTATTTTATTTATTTTTATCTAATATCTTAATCCAAAATATAATTAAGTAGTAATTTAAGAACGCAAGTTTAATTTAAGACAATGTTAAAAAGGTATATTATCTTTTTTTGGCGTCACTTTTTGGTATAATAGGTGAAAGCATTTCCATGTCATGATATTTTGAGGGGAAAATTTATTACAACCAAGCTTGGCGTACACTAGAATCTATTTCACAGGTCTCTGTCAGAGTACTCACATGGTGGGGTTCACTGCAATTTTTTTTTGAATTACATGTGGGGGCCCGCTACTACATTAAGGTATCTGACAAGCCCCTGTGAATTAATTGTCTGTACACTAGAATTAATTCAATTTATTAATTAAGGACAAGATCTACACAGATGGGGAAAGTGAACTCTTAAATTATATTAAATAAGCAATATATTTCAGCTATCTGCATTAAATCTTCTTGACTTGTCAGCAATACATCTTTTTTCGCAGGACGCTGAATAATTTGATTAAGGCTAAATTGATCGTTTCTTCCTCTTAATTATTATCATAACTTAAGTTTACATCTTCTTTATTAGTTTCTTCATCATACGATTATTGGTTTAATTTAGTCACACTGATCTCAGATTCAAACTGCTTTAAAAATACCTTAATGTAATCATTAGCTTATTCAATAAAGTGATAGATTTTGAGCGTGAATGAGTGCTCACTATTTTGATTCATATCAGCTTTCAACACATCGAGATATTGATCATATAACTAGATGTCACTCATTAGAGCATCAAAGAGCCACAAGTTCATGAATAGAAATCAATACCTTGTAGAAAATTTAGGTATTTCATAATATAGTAACACGTGAGTAATTTTTACTTAGAGAGTCATGTTATAGAAAGTAATAGAGTGATTGTTATGGTTAAGAAAAACAACGTACTGCAATTGATAGAGTAACAATCACTAAAACTTTATTAAAAGAAGTGCCTGCCTCTATTCACTAGCTAAGACAAATTAATTTTCGATCTAATTCATACTTTTCTACTTAAGTATTTAATTCATATTATCACAAAACCATCGGTTGATGAGCGCACTTTGTGTTACGAACACAATTTGTAAATAACGAAGAACAAAACAAAATAATTAAAGAGTAGCGAAAATATCGAGTATTTATATGAAATATAGACCTTCCCATTGATATTTCGAGGGAGCAATAAACCATCAAGACAAACCGTATGTGAAAATAATTCATCCACATATTATTTACAGATTTTGCCTCTAAAAAAAAACGCTTAAGACACATGGTTCCACACATGATTCCACGAACTCCAAAAGATAGTCCACTAACACATAATGTCAAATAATTTAAAAAAAAAAAAAGTCATGGATATGACCCTTTTAACTACTTGGACAAATTTAAACTAAACATTAGATACAATAAATCGTAAAATCAAAAGACCAATTAATTAAATTTGTAACTAACTTTCACATGAAGCCGTAAAATATTTGCCTTTTAGATCATCATTCACTACTCCGTAAACTTCTCCAGCGTTATGATCTATGAAGGTGTATTTTTTTTTTTAAATCGAATGCATTGCACAAATTTAATTCGAATGCATTGCACAAATTAATCTTTTGGAAAAATTTAATCAGTGCAATTGTGGACGGGGACAGGGATTAGTTGGGACGATATCCTTTATTTTTATATTTAACTAGTGTGATTGTGAAATACGCATTGGACGATGGATTTTATATTTATTGTTACCAAATTACTACAATAAAGTCATGATTATAGAAAAAATTTAAATACGATTGGACCTTTTTTTTTTTTTTTTTTTTTTTTTCCATCTTTCAATAATGCCATAATATCATAACATTATGTACTTATAGCATGATTTATATTACTATCATTTTAATAAAGTGACTAGTGACCAAAGTATATAAACCCTTTTGGCCCCCATTAAATTTCTTTTCATTTTTCTCTCTTATTTTCAATCACACAATCTTCCATAAAATAATATTACACGTAAATCGAAAATTTTTCATTTTTTCTCAACCACTCATTTTTCAGAAAAAACACTATTCCACCCAATTTTCATTTCAAAAAATGATTTTTCCTTCTTTTTCAACCACTCATTTTTAAAAAAAAAAGGAAATTCCACCCAATTTTCATTTCAAAAAAGGGGGCCAAATGGGGGCAAAGTCTTCTCTCAATTATTATCAATGACTCATGTTAAAGGAATTAAAATTTGAGAAAATTACCTAGAAACCTAGGTTTAAAAACTAGTTTTCATAAATAAAGGAGGTTAAGTTTAATTTCATAATTCAGGTGGTAATAAAAAATTATTAAACAAATATTATTAAATTCATAACTACCACACACCACACCCAATCTGCGGTCTCTCGCCCCCTTCTCTCTCTATGTTTTCTAATTCCCTGACTCCGGCGAATACATCCACCACAATGGCACCGTGAAAGCAGTTGACGACTACTCCGCCTGAAGACATATCAACGCTGACTGTCGCCTCACAGCTATGGTTTGGATCTCCAATCACGGTCGGGGCTGTTAAAGGGCTCGAAAAATTTAGGGAGGTGGTGAAGCCCTAATCATCCTCTCTCTCTAAATTCTCTCTCCCTTCTCTCTATCACAAACCACCTTCGGTGACACTCACGATGTCGCCACCATCAACGACACTCACTGTGTCACCACCATCGGCGACGCTCAGGGTGTCACCACCGCCGGCGACGCACACGGTGTGTAGATCTGAGCGGTGTAGAGCATTATTGTGTGGTGTCTTCGTCACCGGTATGTGATCTCCGATGGTTGTGGTGTCTTCGTTGCTGGTTTGTAGAGCGTTTATGCGGTGGTGTAGACTGAGATTTGTAGTCTTCTGTAGTTAACTCGATTTTTACATCATATTCTTGCAACTCGCTGGAAGATGTCAAGGAAAGTGGTGTAAAGACAATTAAGTGTTCTTGTTGTATACATGGCCTCAAATTAATTGGTCACAGCGGCAAACGAATCCAAGAAATTTCATCCCACCTCATGTTTATCTGTAAGTGCACTTACACCTTACCTACTGATGCAAAACTGATCTTTCTCTCTATTTACAAGCAATCGAGTTACAGAAGATTTTCAGAACATTACATGGAATAAATTTGTAGTTTGCGTTTGAAATACATTAATAGAACATTATTTTATTTGATTTTAAATTCTGCTCAACGTTGTCTGATGTTATTGAATTTGAATCCACAATATGAAATCTTAAATGAAGAGAATATGCAGGAAAAGATTTGGAAAAAGGATGCTCAAAAGTATGAAAATTAGAGGACAAATGAATTTTTAATTAATTTGATAATCTACGACTGGCAAGAA